TTTTTTTTTTTTTTTTTAATGTCTTTTGTTCAGAAACCCTGGCCTTAGGATTTATATTGTGATTTGTCCTCAAGATCCCAATAATATGATGATGCTTTATTCCCCAGAGCTTGGTCTACTGGACTTGAGGCATTGCCTGTCTGACTGACAGCATTTGTCTCCTTCTGCAAGACAAGTGGCAGGGGACACGTGGAGCAGAGAGGGCCACGTCGGGATTCCTCACAGACTATTCTCTGGCTCAGAGCACGTCCCTGGAGAACAGCTCCTGTCTCACTGCAGCTGGAGGCACACTAGTGCGCCTCACCACCCCCATTTCCCAGCTCTCTGGGTACTGTAGGGGTGCCTGACAGGGGGAGAATCTTCTTCCCCCTTTATAATGTGCTCTGTGATGCACACACGAAGTGGTAGGTTAAAGACCACACATCCTGGTGGAGTATTGTCTCCCTGGGCCCTATTTTCCTCACCCCATAACCCCCTCTGGAGGGCCCCCAGTCACTCACCATATGCTCTCTGTGCCGTGTGGGCTCCCACATCTACCCAGACCTCTGAGCCTTACGTTTGAGGCTTCACCGGACTGTAGCATTAGGAGGCCCGGGCTGGGGGCTGGCCCGTGCTGGTGTTTGGTGGAGAGCAGCCCACGCTTTGACCACCGTCTCTGGGCATCGTGAGAGCTTGCAACCCCACCCATTTCTCTGCCATCTTTTCATTGTCGTCCTAAAAACGAAAACCTTCCAGATATCTTTGGAGAGGCACCACTGTTGTGGCATGTTCTCCTAGGAGGGGGTAGGGGTCCCTGCCCTTTTTACCCCTCACCCAGCTGTGCTTCTGCTTTTGAGACTGGATTTCCTTGAAAGAGGGCAAGTCCTTATTTTTACAAATATGGGAATACTCTTAAGGGCGTTCATTAATCATCCCATCTGCTAAGACTTGAGCAGGCCTGGACACTTCCTGTGCTAAGACCATCCGATAGTCTCTGGGTTCTCGTCCCAGGGCCTTTTTGCTGCCTGGTCACATACTCAGATCTCCTGCCTCAAGGAGAAAGCACAGAGTTGAAGCTTGGTGGTGTTAGGAAGAACGGAGTTCTGATTCTGCCCATGCAGACCCCTTTCCCCTCTGAGTGGCCTGGACTTGGACAGAAACTACAAATACAGCTTAAACTCCCAATCACTTTGATGCCTGACCCCAAAGAAACACAGTTCTCCCCACTGGACAGAAGGCAGTGTAGCCAACTGCACAAGGGTGCCGAGGGAGGAACTTAGGTGGCCTGTCAGGAATCTGGGGGAGGAGAGGAGAGCCTGAGGGGAAGCACCCGCATTTCTGTCACTGCCCTCTTACCACATCCTGCAGCTCCCTCCTTTTTGGGTGGACTCTGGCCCCATTATGTTAGAATGTCCTAGTTCGGATGCTGTTCGCTTCCATTTTATCTCTGAGCGCCTGTCCCTGGTGTAAAGCTATCTCCCCTCCCCGTGTCCTCCTGGGAGCCCAGAGCTCCTAGGCTGAGCCAGGAGACAGCCCAGCACCGCACCACCCCCCCACACACACATGAGGGTCCTTTATGTTAACTTATTGGTCCTGTGTAATGCCTAGCGCAGTTGCGAAGTGGCTGCATACTTGGCTGCGGGGCTGGAACTGTGTGGGTTTTAGTGCCAAATATGTCAATAAAGTCTGTTCTTTGTGATTGGCCTGAGCTGATGAAGCGTTCTTTTGTGCCAAGTTTTCTGAGCAGAGGTTTTGCCCAGCCCTCAAGATGCCTGCCCAGGGAGGCAGAGTCGCCTGGTCTCCAGCGGGTCTGGCCTGGTCCCTGGGAAGCAGGGGGATGGCCGGGGTGGTAGAGGTTCTCTGCTCCCTGGCAGGATGGAATGAGGAACAGTTCCTGCCAGAGCTCCTTGGGTCCCCAGGGCCAGAGGAGATGGGCTCTGGGAGCCACTTTCTCAACGGCAGGGACTTCCGCTCCAGGAAGTCTGAAGGCTTCCCCCAGGCCAGGCTAGGCAGTGGATGGCGATGAGTGGGGCTGAGTCTCCCGTTCCTTGAAGCGGTTCTAGGAGCTCTGGCCTGCCCAGAGTGGAGGTTTCCATGAGAAATAGGAGCTTCTCCAAAGCTCTACAACGCAGGAGTTTCCTTGGGGTGGTGGGGGGAGGCGCTTTCCACAAGGTCTCCTCCCCCACTTCTGGGCAGGGTTGCCCACAGCCCCTCCCACCTGGGGACCTGCGCGGGGAGGGGGAGGGGAGGGGGAGGAAAGCTCCAATTCAGCCCACTTCCCTGCCGGCCCTGCAGGGG